AGGTGTGTCATAATATCAAAGAAGGAAGGAGGAACACCAACTCAAAGTCGACGAGACATTGAACCACATCATTACGTAGTTTAGCTAGATCAGTTGGATCAATTGCCTTCGAGAAATTGCATTGAGGAATGCACATAGCTTCACGGTGGCTAGACGTACATTTGGAGGTAGAATTCCTCTTAATGCAATCTGAAGTAATTAAATGTCATGAGAACGTGATGCAGATCATGGGACTTTAAGTTTCTGAAATTTCTTCTCGGCACATTTATAATACCCTTTATATTCGAGAAGAATCCAGATGGTACCTTGATGTTGTTTAAGCATTCAAACATGATTTCCTTCTCCTCTTTGCTTAGAGTGTAGCTAGCGGGGACGTAAGTAATGGCGTCCATCATCCTGCTTTCTAGATGCATGTTGTCTCTTTCTCTCAAACAACGCAGGTCCTGTCGTGCTTCAAATGTGTCCTTAGGCTTTCCATACACACCCATAAAGCCTAGCAGGTTCACACAAAGATTCTTCGTCAGGTGCATCACGTCGATCGAGCTGCGGACCTATAGGACTTGCCAATAGGGTAGGTCCCAAAATATGGACTTCTTCTTCCACATGGGTGCGTGACCGTTAGCGTCTTTCGGAACAGGTTGGCTTCCATGTCCTTTTCCAAAGATGACTTTCACATCATTGACCATATCGAGTACATCCTCACCGTTCGGTTATGCGAGGCTTGGTCGTGTGGTCCGCCTTCCCTTTAAAATGCTTGCCTTTCTTTCTTACTGGGGTGATTTGCGGGAAGAAATCGACGATGGCCAAGGTACACGACCTTTCGACATTTTTCAAGAATACACCTCTAATATCACCGAAGCGGTGTGTGCATGCATTATATCCCTTGTTTGATCTGTCTCCGAAAGATTACTTAGAGCAGGCCAATCATTGATTATTACGAACAACAATGCTCGCAGATCAAAGTGTTCTGTTTGTACTCATCCCACACACGTACACCTTCTTTATTCCACAAAATGAGAAGTTTGTCAATAAGTGGTCTCAGGTACACATCGATGTCATTGCCAGGTTGCTTCGGGCCTTGGATGAGCACAGGCATCATAATGAACTTCCGCTTCATGCATAACCAAGGAGGAATGTTGTAGATACTTAGAGTAACAGGCCAAGTGCTATGACTACTGCTCGCTCTCCAAAAGGATTGATACCATCTGTACTTAAAAGCAAACCTTAAGTTTCTTGCGTCATTTGCAAACTCCGGAATTTCTCTCGTCGATTGCTCTCCACTTTGGGACCCATCAAAGGGTGTCTCAACATATTGTCTACCTTATGGTCTTCTTTGTGCCATCGCAACAATTTTGCATGTTCTTTGTTTCTGAACAGACGTTTCAAGCGTGGTATTATAGGAGCATACCACATAACCTTGGCGAGGATTTTCTTACGCTGACGTTCGCCCTCAACATCACCGAGGTCATCTCGCTTTGATCTTATATCACATGACGCATGGCATACCCGGCATGCATCCAATTTCTCGTACTCTTTGCCACATTTATGCAGATGCGATCATTAGGACATGCATGTATCTTCTCTATTTCTAGCCCATAGGACAGACAACTTGTTTTGCTTCGTAGGTAGTGGCGGGCAATTCATTGTACTTCAGAAGCATCTTCTTTTGGATTTTTAGTAACTCTCCAAATCCCTTGTTAGATACACCATTCTTTGCCTTCCATTGCAGCAATTCTAGTGTGGTTCCCAACTTTTTCTGCCCTGCATCACAAGTTGGGTACAACAATTTCTTGTGATCTTCTAGCATCCGCTCGAACTTGATCTTCTCCTTTTCACTTTCACATTCTATTTGTGCGTCACGAATGACCTGAGAAAGATCATCAGCTGTCTCATCTTCTGCGGCTACCTCTTCTTCAGCTTCTCCCATTGCAGTATCATTGAAGCACGCACCATCGGGAATAATATCATTATCGTCCCATTGTTCTTCTTCACCTTCTTCCATTACAACACCGGTTTCTCCGTGCTTTGTCCAACAAATATAGTTTGGCATGAAACCCGACTTGAATAAGTGTGAATGAAGAGTCCTTGAGCAAGGATATTCCACCGTATTCTTACATATGGCACATGGGCAGCACATGAAACCATCGCGTTTGTTTGCCTCGGCCGTACGTAACAAAGAATGCACGCCGTCAATGAACTCTTGGGAGCGGCGATCAGCATTATACATCCAATGACGGCTCATCTGCATTACATGACATAAATATCATATTAAAACCTAGATCATAATTAATTATTTATACAACATGCGTGCCACCACAAAAGATACAAATTTATGAAAGCATCGCTACAATGTAGACAATCCCAACTACCACTAAAAGAACTAAAGCTAAAATACATTTCAAGAGCACAAGGATTTCACGACCAATCTCAACTAAAAAAGACGATCCCCGATTGTGCAACATCTTTGGGCTTCTTCGGTGGATCACTTTGCCTCATTAGCAGCCAGATCTCTGCACAGTGCAAGATATTTTTGCACGAGTTCAACATACTCTTCCTCCCAGTAGAAGCCTGAACATCGTCCACTGCCATCCCACTGAAATTAAAACAAAAAATTAGAACTTTAATCACAACCATCATGAAAATAGGTATAAACTAACCATAATCATTAAATACGGTAAAATAACTCACATTGCGATCCGAACACTTGTAGAAGATACGATCCTTGTTGGGACCCTCCTTCTTCACTCGGTACTCCATCACAATCTTCGTCTCATCACGACACTTGCCGCATGGAATGAGAGGGAGGCCCGGCCTAAGTCGCTTTGGAAACCCATGAGAGGCCGAGGACCCGGAAGCAGTTGCCATCTACTCTCTATACTCATTTTTTAATACACTATAAATTTCTCCTTTTATAAACAAATAAAATTAAGAAACTATAAAATTATCTAGATCTCTATACTCATTTTTTAATACATTATAGCTCAATAACATGTTTTAATAAATAACCATCCGTACTAGTTGACCTTGCTTACGTGATCATCTCGGCGAGCATTTCTCCACCGGACGGCACCGTACTTGGTCAAGGAAGAGCTCCGATTCTACGAGGAAGGGAACACGGTCTTCCACGACCGTTGTCGCTCTCCCTCGTAGAATCAAAGCTCCTCCTTGATATCCGTTACCGCTCGACAGAGAACATGATCGCCGAGATGAACACGGTCCGCAAGTTCAACTAGTACGGATTTTCTATAATTTTCTAAGTTTATATTTATATATACTATGTTTAGGTACGGTGATTGACAGACTACTGCGACAATATCGGGACATGTGAATAAATAACCATCCGTACTAGTTGACCTTGCTTACGTGATCATCTCGGCGAGCATTTCTCCACTGGACGGCACCGTACTTTGTCAAGGAAGAGCTCCAATTCTACGAGGAAGGGAACACGGTCTTCCACGACCGTTGTCGCTCTCCCTCGTAGAATCAAAGCTCCTCCTTGACGTCCGTTACCGCTCGGCAGAGAACATGCTCGCCGAGCTGAACACGGTCCGCAAGTTCAACTAGTACGGATTTGCTATAATTTTCTAACTATTTTCTAAGTTTATATTTATATATACTTTAACCTTCTTTCATGTAAATATGCAAGCTTGAAGTGATTTTGAGCTCAAATTGCTTACAAATGAAAAAAACCACAATAAAGAACCATAAATATATATAGTGAACAAAATGGCATAAGAAAATGGTGAAAAATGAGAGTATGAGATTGGTAACCTTTACAACTGAAGAATCGATGGAAGAATCGAAGAAATCGACGGAGGAATCGAAGAATGGATGGAGGAACAATGGAGGGAGGGAGGAAGCAAGAACACTAGTGCAGTGAGCTTCAAAATGTGCTGAGCTCGGGCTCGGGGAGGAAGAAGGAGACGGCCGATATATAAAGGGAGAACATTTAGTCCCGGTTGGTGGATCCAACCGGGACTAAAGGTAACTTTCCAACCCCGGGCGCAGCCACGGCCCGGGAGTATACCTTTAGTCCCGGTTGGTGGCTCCAACTGGGACTAAAGGTCCCTGACACCTCTGTCTGGCGCAGTAGCCGTTGGGCAGGGACCTTTAGTCCCGGTTGGAGCCTCCAACCGGGACTAAAGGTATTTCTAGTCCCGGGGGCAAAAAATTCCGGGACTAGAGCCCATTTTGGCCGAGGATCAAAGGTCTGTTCTCTACTAGTGTGTCTTCCACGATTCCACCGCTTATACTTTTCGCCGTTATACAGTGCATTGCAGAGACGTGTTACAGTGCGAAACAGCAACGAGCGTTCGAGCCTGTTTCCATCACAGGAAAGGAACGTGTTTCTCTTTTAGTGACGCACACAAACACGGCTAGGTGTCCTGCTTGGATCCATTAGCGGAGACGTGTAACCATTTCCCTCTCATCACCGCGTTAGGAAATAATAGGAACCATTCGTGGACGGTAGTGGATTCGGAAAATTCAATAATCCGTGTGCACCACCACACCTTATCTGAGACCGTTCGCATGCAATGCAAGCGCTCGCAGGATTCGTGTTGGGCTGCTGAGATCCTAATCCTAGTCCTAGGAGGAATTCTGAAAATCCGAAGAGACAATGATAGAGAATCTAGCATCCAAAAGCATAAAAAAAGAGAGATACTGGTTTCTATAATCTTAAACCAAACCAAACGGGACTGTTATCTCGATGGTGGACTAGTCTGTTCACACAAAAGGCTTACCTCGTTTTTCCTGCTCTATGATGGAGTTTAATTTGAAGTGGAGCAGTCACAAACAAGCCATGAAATATAAATATAATTAAAGAATAAATTAGAGACATATAACTGCTGATCGATCATGTGTCATCTATCCTGATGATCACACCTCCCATTGTAGAACCAGAAGCTGATTGTGACACTTAATGAGGTTGAGCGTACATTCAGCCCAAGGCATACACCGGAGGAGGAATTTCCAAATGCCCTTCCACCATATTCACCACCATGCTCATCGTCGGCCTCACCTTCGGCTGCTCCTGCACGCACAAGAACGCCACCTTGCACATCATCTCCGCTGTCTCCATGAGATCCAACAGCTTTCCCTGTTCGTACATGGTCCACGCCAGCAACGGCAGCCACTTTTCAGTCTCCGGCAAGCTGTTGTCTATGATCTTCCTCCGGCTAATGACCTCAAACAGGAGCATGCCGAAGCTGTACACGTCGCACTTCTCGGTGATCGCCGCACATCGATGTCGATCACCTCACACGCCATGTAGCCGACTGTGCCAGCCCGAAGTCGGTGAGCTTCGGGGTCAGGGAGTCGTCCAGGAGGACGTTGCTGGCCTTGACGTCGTAGTGGATGATCTTCTGGCACTCCTCGTGGGGGTACCTGAGGCCTCTCGCCACGCGCCTGTGGTCAAAAAGGTTACCACGAGCCTACGCTCCACAGGTTCTAGGTCCACAGGAGCTGACAACATATAAGGCATTTGGGCCTTACACTATTGGAAACTCGAATATTTCTGTGACGAATTTTTCTGTGCGTTTTTTCGGTACGCACAGAAAAATTACGATTATTCTGTGGGTTCCAAAATATCCCGATAGAAAAATACGAAAACCCACAGAATAATTATAACATTTTTCTGTGCGTGACAATAGACACACGGAAAAAAAAACTCACAGAAAAATACAATTTATTCTGACGGTTTTTTAAAAATGCACAGAAAAAATATATGCACGCACAGAAAAATGTTATTAATAAAATAAATAAATAAAATCAAAAAGTGCTAACCCGCCCCAGCACCCCTCTTCCCTCTCCCTCCCATCCCCAGCGCTCCGCCCCTCTCCTCCCGGCCCCAGCCCCCTCCCCAGCCTGGCGCCCCCTCCTCCTCCCGCCCCCAGCGCCCCTCCCCCCCCGGCGCCCCTCCCCCCCGGCGCCGCCTCTTCCCTCTCCTCCCGGCCCCAGCCCCCTCTCCCCCCCCCCCCTCCCTCCCCATGGCCCCTCCTTCCCGGCCCCTCCTTTCCCCAGCCCCTCTCCTTCCCAGCCCCCCCTCCTCGCCGGATCCGCCGCCCCCTCGCCGGATCCGACGCCCTCTCCCCGGATCCGGCGCCCCCTCCTTTCCCGGCGGCGTGGCGGTGCGGATCCGGCGCCCCCTCCTTTCTCCGGTGGCCCCTCCTTCCCCGGCGGCCCCCTCCTTCCCCGGTGGCCCCCCCTCGCCGGATCCACCGCCCCCTCCTTTCCCGGCGGCGTGGCGGCGCGGACGCGCCATGGACGGCCCTACATTCCTATATCAGTTGCCTGGGAATATCTTCCCCTATCTGATGATATGTATTTTTGTATATGTTGTAGTGCAATATATTTGCCATTTCTGGTGTATTGATTTTACTTGTTTGCTCGTAGGATGCTTTTGCTATCCAAAGCAATGAGCGTGGAATTGCTGCTCGTGACAGTGGTGCTTTTGCATGGGAGATTGTTCCGGTGATTTTCTTTCACTTTGCTAGGACTTGAAATTACAGTATATGCTTTGTTTGGTTTCCAAATTATGTTCAATGTTTTGTCAACCAGATTGAAGTTCCTGTTGGGAGAGAAAAACCACCTGTACTTATTGAGAAAGATGAAAGCCTGGATAAGGTAAATTTTCTCATGCAGCAAAGACATAAGACTGGCATGCCCTTTGATTCATTATTCTTCCTACGGTGCAACAGGCCTCCTTACATGGGGACATGTGCAGATGATTGTTTCACTTATGCCATGCAATTTCTTGTGTCTCTTAGTTTGACCCAGCAAAACTGAAGAAACTTCGCCCAAGTTTCAAGGAGAATGGTGGTACCGTTACAGCTGGAATTGCTTCTAGTATAAGGTAACTTCTCGACATTTACATTATTGTTACTTAGTCCTTTTAAGTTTATCTTCAGTTGTATTATAATTCTTGTGATTAGCTATGATGATAGTTAACTTCATTCTTTAAATTATGCTTGCATTTTGTTATTTTTGTTGCTGTCCTGTGCATACCATATTTGACTTGTGTTTGTTCTTATGAATTGGCACTCCTATTATGTTTTAGGGGCTTGGTATGCTCTAATTTGTTAAATAGATTGTAACTTTTCTTCTTGTAAATGATTTATTATCACATAAGAAAGTAAAGAAGTGTTTGTAATGTCTTATGCCCATTCAAAGGAAAATTAGTCTATGTGTATAATTTCTTCTTGGTTGTCTTCAAAATTCTTTGATCTCACTTTGCACTTGCTATTTTTTCCATTGACCGGTACTGTCCATTGTGTACTGCCTACTATCCACTTGTGTAGCTACAATCGATCATATCTAATTTGCTTTTATATGGATCAGTGATGGGGCTGTTGCATTAGTTTTGGTGAGTGGGCAGAAGGCTCAAGAGCTTGGCGTGCAAGACCTTGCAAGGATCAGAGGATATGCAGATGCAGCTCAAGTAAGCTACAGTAACAGTTATCTCACTTGAGAGTAGAGTATGTTTTGTCTTGATATTTACATTGTGATCTTAATCACAATGTTTTTATAGTAGAAAAGTTGAAGGTAATCTGTAATTAAATAATGAATTAAGTCAAATACTTGAGGCCTTGAGCATATCATAGCGTTTGCCAGGAAGGGTAAAAGATCTTTACTAGTATATTGCTAGTGTTCTGTTAGTGAATTTTCAGTGTGTAAATAGGAACTTAGGTAACCCTGCAAATCCAAGCTTTGACATTGATACTTGACTCACAGATTATGAAAACTGTATCCATAAGTTCATACTTGAAAAGAATCCATAAATTCATATTTGAAAAGAATCCATAAGTTCATATGCAGTCTAGTGTTCATGCTGCTGTACTTAGGTTTGCAGTTTGACATCTGGAAGTTAGCTGCCAAGTTACTACCACTGCAGATAGTGAATTGACAGTTCATCACCTGTATGCTAAGGAAAATTATCTTTTTTTATATATTTGGGATGAACTGTTGAATTGATCAATAAATCTACTAGATTATGACTCGTGTTTCTTTTATTATGTTTCGGCAGGAGGTATCAAATAAGATAGTGAATCGTAACGTAATATGCTTTATAATTATCTTAACCTTCCATTTTTGTACTTTAATTTTCAAGCATTTCTTTTATTTTCACTTACTAAACAGAAAAGATGCATTAGCTATAGTATTGTGCAACTAGTTAATCCATCTGAAGTAATGCATAGCACATTCTTTTGTTTAGGTATATAATTATTCTGTCCTGCCAATTTCCAAACTGTATTGGTTTTTCTTTTTAATCCTAAATTATAAGGCTTGTGCCTAATTTAGATGCTTGTTACCCTCTTTTTCCCTTGTTTATTTTGTTGTGTCCTAAGGATTTGTGCATAACACCCAAACATACTTTCAACTCTCAGCTTTCCAGCCAAATTAATTGAATAGGAGGGAGAATTCATGTTATTTCTCTTCTGGATCTGTCAATTTGCAAATTCTTAACCTATGTCCCTGTTCAAATTTTCCTTTTGATAGGGACAAGTGGGAGTACAAATTTTATGAGTTACCTAGTCGTAACCTAGAGAACTTAGTCCTAACACTTGCTTCTTTGTCGCTACAGGAGTGTTGCCGACCATGCCTACCACTACCACCTTTCTGTCGCCGCACTCCTCACAGCAGCAGCAGGAGCAGCTACCGCCGCAACAGTAGTGAAGCTCATCGTGGTGTCCTAGTCGTCCTCTCGTGATGGTTTAGAACTTTGATGTCGGTCATTTGAAGTTTGCTTGTCGCCCAGCCACATCGGGCGTGATACTTGTTTTGGCACTCTTGATACTTATCGGTTGTGTGGTCATCCATCAAGGTCCCTTCGAGTACTGTATTTGTGTATTATTTGAATGAAACCTTGTTGTCATGCACAGAAATTACTATATGGAAAATATATATTTTAATATGCTGTTGCTACTATTTTAAAATAATTTTTTTGTGCGTTTAACTTTTTTTTTCTGTGAGGCTGGCTACACAGAAATATTCTTTTTAATCTGGGCGAAATGAATTTTTCTGTGTGTTCACCTAGACCGACAGAAAAAACATGTGTTTTTCTATGCGTTTATTTCTTTTTCCTGTGTGGATTAACACACAGAAAAATTAGTTTTAATCTGGGCGAAAACAATTTTTCTGTGCGTGTGAGACCCACAGAAAAATTGTTTCTGACGGTGAAATCATAGAAAAATGTTATTTTTCTGTCATTATATTTCTGTGGGTATTTTTCTGAGGGTACACCATCAGAAAAATATTTTTCTGATGGTATTTGCATTTTTCTATGTGTTTTCGCACACACAGAAAAAAGCGAGATTCCAGTAGTGTTACTCAACCCAGGGTTCTCCCGCCTTAAATGTTGTGCTCCCCCGCCATCGCTACACGATGTGGGACTAAACCCCAACAATCTCCCCCTTAGTCACACATTGGGGTGCCTCCGCCATATGTGACGCTCGAGATTTTTTATCGGGTTCTCCCCCATAGCATGGTTTAAAAGGCGTTAAGGCGAGGCGAGGCGAGCGACCCCTTCCGGCCACCTAGGCGAGCAAGGCGGACGCCTAGGCGACACCATAAGAATATCATAATATATAATGGCGCTAAAATTCAGAAGCAAATCAGACCTTAGTATTACCAATTCTTAGCAGACATACATAGTTTTAGACCATAATAAGGATGATAAGTAGTGCAACTAGAGTACTAGTCTACTAGTGCACAATATGAAGTAGCAAAAGCGCAAATCTGAAATGTCTCGGTAGCCAAAAACTAGTCTCTAATGGCATGACTTAATTAGTAGCGTTGCTAGTGCGCATCATATATGAAATAGCAACATAGGAAATCTGAAATCCCTCCTCTCAATAGCCATCATCAAACTCTCCAATGATGTTGGCTGCCTCCTCATCTCCTCCACTACCATTGGCATCACAAGGATCATCCTCAGAATCTGTCACATCTGTCATCATAGGGATCTTGAGCCTTTGCTACAAACCTTTTTTTGTAGTAGTGTGTTGCAACACACGGGCATTTACCTAGTAAAGAAAAAAAACGTGAGCACTCAAATCGAGTTCTACCATATAAGAAAGCTAATCAACTGAACTACACTCCGTTTGTAAATATAGTATATTTATAGGTAGATCTAACTAAATGTATAGTTCATAGTTATTCCGGAGTACCAGTGAACGGTAACCTCGCTCAGAGATGTGCACTCCTCTACAATGTCAGTCACTTGTTAAACGCTTGGTTTGTACAGTTCGATCGCCTATTACAGACTTACAGCACATGTAGAGAGAAACTTTCTTCCACGGTTCCACCGTGCATGCAGAGACGTGTTCCAGTGCGAAACAACGACGAGTGTTGGAGTCTGTTTCCTTCAATTCACAGGAAAGGAACGAAACGTAGAGTGTTTCTCTCTAGTGACGCACGCACAAACGCGGCTAGTGTCCTGCTTATGTATGTCACGCGCGACGATAAGATGATTCGAGTTTTAAATTTGAGAGATTCAAACGTAGTTTTGCATGATAAGATGATTTCAAATCAAAAAGTTGTCAACTACATAGTTTCATAACTTTTGGTGATCTACAATTTTCGTTTAGGAAGTTTTTCCATCCGAGGTCTTTTGAAAAATTCAAATTTTAAAATTTTCAAATTCAAACGTCGTTTTTGCATGACAAGATGATTTCAAATCAAAATGTTGCCAACTACAAAATTTCATAACTTCTCAAGATCTACAAAGTTTATTTTGGTCATTTGTTCATCCGACATAATGGTAGTAACATTATTCATAAATCTTATATATCTCTCTTCTACTTTCATGAAATTAATATGAGACATATGAGAGAGATGTAGATTTTATGAACAACGTTATTGTTGCTTTGTCAAATGAAGAAATGACCAAAATAAACTTTGTAGATCTTGAGAAGTTATACAACTTTGTAGTTGAAAAGTTTTTTTATTTGAATTCATTTAGGGCCTCAAAAATTGCTTTGAAAAAATGATTTGCCGAGGGCAAAAAAAATGCAAACGGCAAAATGCCTCTTTGCCGAGTGCCGAGAAAAGGCACTCGGCAAAGACTCATTTTGCCGAGTGCCAAAAAATGGCACTCGACAAAATACATCGTTACCGAGTGCTAGAAAAAAGGCACTTGCCGAGTGCAGAAAAATGGCACTCGGCAAAGTACATCTAAAATGTCAGTCACTTGTTAAACGCTTGGTTTGTACAGTTCGATCGCCTATTACAGACTTACAGTACATGTAGAGAGAAACTTTCTTCCACGGTTCCACCGTGCATGCAGAGACGTGTTCCAGTGCGAAACAACGACGAGTGTTGGAGTCTGTTTCCTTCAATTCACAGGAAAGGAACGAAACGTACGTGTTTCTCTCTAGTGACGCACGCACAAACGCGGCTAGTGTCCTGCTTATGTATGTCACGCGCGACGACTGTAATAACCATTTTCCTCTCATATACAGCGTTAGGAACTATTCGTGGACGGTAGTAGAAGCGGAAAATCAATAATCCGTACGTGTGCACTACGTACCCAAGCGCTCCCAGGATTCTTCGTGTTGGGCTCGGCCCGGCCACCAAAGCACGTCGGTGCTCCATTTGGATGGCTACATATCTATTATATATATAATAAGCATTATTATTATTATTATTATTATTAATATAAGCATGTAATAAAAATTTTCTACCACATCCATACAGGTGAGATCCTAATCCTACGAGGAATTCTGAAAATCTGAACAAACAAAGTTCGAGAATCTAGAATTCAAAAGCATAAACACTAAGCTAGGCCCCGTTTGGATCCTTGGAATTGGATTCCTTCTAATAATTATAATTTAGACACAGATTAATTAAGCTAATACGGTTGCATATGGAATATATTTGTACACTTTGATGGATCCGCGACTCCATGGGTTGATGATATATATATATATATATAGGCAGGCATGGACATAGATTGTCGTCTCCCAGCTCCCATACTACGTACCTCGTTGCCATATTATTCCTGCTCCTAGGCTCCTAGCTAGCTATCAGCTGCGTTCTTGTGCGCCGCCGGCCGTGCGATCTGGACAACATGGGTGGACTCAGTCCAGGTGCGCGCACATGCTTCCTTTTTCTCTCATTTTTTTTTGAAAAATCGCGCGCATGTATCTCTGATGAGATCATGCAAATATAATGCATTTATTTATTATGTACAAGTGAAAAATGTGCAGGATGCTTTGTCGTCGTTTAATTTCCCGGCAGCGTCTTCTTCATCGGTGAGCTCTGTGGGCCGGTTTGGGTTCCTCACCGGGTAGTGACGACATACCTAGCTGGTAGGAAGGCCCTAAGCATCGCCTTAGGCCGGATCTATTCCACCACTACGGGCCACCCCGCGCCACCTTTGGCCAGTTGTGTTGGATCAAACAGAGAAGAGACAACAAGGGGGAAGAAGAGACAAGATCGAGAGACCGGCGATTGGTGGGTGTTGAGGTCGAGGGAATTAGAGTTACCGAGTTATAGAGTGTCAGCTAGGGGAGCTAGGGTTTTATTTTTATTGGCCGCTCTATGAATTCCTCATTTATAGAGATGAGGCCGCTCTATGAATTCCTCATTTATAGAGATGACCATCTTAGGAGGTCCATCTCTGTAAATCAATTTATAGGGGCAAACATATCTTTTGAACGTCTGTCTTCTAAAATCATTTAGAGAGACGGCCATATAAAAATGTTGTGTCTAAGAAAATATCTAA